ATACCAGTATTCATTGAACTGTGACCTGGCCACATCAGCATTCATTGGATTGTGACCTGGCCATATCAGTATTCATTGGATTGTGACCTGGCATACCAGTATTCATTGGATTGTGACCTGGCCATATCAGTATTCATTGGATTGTGACCTGACCATATCAGTATTAACTGGATTGTGACGTGGCCATATCAGTAATAATTAGATTGTGATCCGACCATATCCGTATTCTTTGGACTGTGACTTGACCATATCAATATTCATTGAACTGTGACCTGGCCATATTAGTATTCATTGGACTGTGACCTGACCATACCAGTATTCATTGAACTGTGACCTGGCCATATCAGTATTCATTGGACTGTGACCTGACCATACCAGTATTCATTGAACTGTGACCACGCCATATCCGTATTCATTGGACTGCGACCTGGTCATGCCAGTGTTCATTGGACTGTGACCTGGCCATATAAATATTCATTAGATTGTGACCTGGCCATACTAGTGTTCATTGGACTGTGACCTGGCCATATCAGTATTCATTGGACTGTGACCTGGCCATATAAATATTCATTAGATTGTGACCTGGCCATACTAGTGTTCATTGGACTGTGACCTGGCCATATAAATATTCATTAGATTGTGACCTGGCCATACTAGTGTTCATTGGACTGTGACCTGGCCATATCAGTATTCATTTGACTGTGACCTGACCATATCAGTATTCATTGGATTGTGGCCATATCATATCAGTAATAATTAGATTGTGATCCGACCATACCCGTATTCATTGAACTGTGACCTGGCCATATCAGTATTCATTGGACTGTGACCTGACCATACCAGTATTCATTGAACTGTGATCTGGCCATATCAGTATTCATTGGACTGTGACCTAGCCACACCAGTATTCATTGAACTATGACCTGACCATACCAGTATTCATTGAACTGTGACCTCGCCATATCCGCATTCATTGGACTGTGACCTGACCATACCAGTATTCATTGGATTGTGACCTGACCATACCAGTATTCATTGGATTGTGACCTGGCCATACTAGTGTTCATTGGACTGTAACCTGGCCATACCAGTGTTTACTGGACTGTGACCTGGCCATATCAGTATTCATTGGATTGTGACCTGATCATTCCAGTATTCATTGGACAGTGACCTGGCCATATCAGTATTCATTGGATCGTGACCTGTCCATATCCGTATTCATTTTATTGCGATCTGGTCATATCAGTTTTCCTTGGATTGCGACCTGGCCATATCAGTATTCATTGGATTGCGACCTGGCCATATCAGTATTCATTGGACTGTGACTTGACCATACCAGTGTTTACTGGACTGTGACCTGGCCATATCAGTATTCATTGGATTGTGACCTGGCCATATCAGTATTCATTGGATTGTGACTTGGCAATACCAGTATTCATTGGATCGTGACCTGGCCATATCAGTATTCATTGGAATGTGACTTGGCCATATAAATATTCATTAGATTGTGACCTGGCCATATCAGTATTCATTGGATCGTGACCTGGCCATATCAGTATTCATTGGATCGTGACCTGGCCATATCAGTATTCATTGGATCGTGACCTGTCCACATCAGTATTCATTGGATAGTGACTTGGCAATACCAGTATTCATTGGATCGTGACCTGGCCATATCA